ATCAATAGCAGCCAAGATCAAATTTGCATGTTGTGTAATGCTAAGAAACACATATGCATGACAATAAGCTACCGAGTTTTGCAGAACTGATACTAAAAATTGAGAAGTAAAGAATGCAGAGTATTCTTATACAGCATATTTTTAGCACAGTTCAAGGGTCTGAGCGCAATCATGATCAGGCAACTTTATTTATTGAGTGGATCCTGGCTCAGTATATGGTAAAGGGAAATAGGGAAGAAAAAAAAAGAAACAGCAAAGTTTGATCCTAGAAACAGCAGCCTACGGTCTCATAAAACTGGAATCGGAACAATATGGAGTAAAAGCAAAATGGGCAGAAGAAGATTAAAGAAATAATGCCCGCATCACAAAAATATCCTTCCAGTATTTGGAGTTGTTAACAGTAGAGCTATGTGTCCAGAAAAGAAATGATGTTTATATCTAGATTATATCTCCATAGCAATGAAAGAAGAATAAAGGTGGATAAACAAACAAGAAATACAACAACTCTTCCACACTCTTCTTGCCATTACAAATAGAAAAGTTCAGTTGAAAACAAAATTATGCATCTTAAAAATAGCTAGAAGGTAAAGAGAATAAAACAACACTACACACATGGCGAATAGGCAATAAAGAGCTTAAGTCACAAAAAAAATTGTGACAAATGCTTTTGTCTGCCTCTCAAGCGAAGCCAGTGCCTGCAGTTATAAGTTCATAATCTTGAGTTATTTTCCATTTTTCATAAACCTTTAGATAGAAATCAGTAATTACATTGCTTTTTTAAAATTTGAATGCTATGGCATTTGTTCAAGACAAATAGATTGAACTCAAATTATATTTTGCCACTAACAAAATGCAAAAGAAAAGACTAAAGACAAAAGGCACAGTGAGAACAATAATCCACTTGAAAACCTTGCCCTGATGGGCATTGTACTTGTACTGAATATAAAACTAACCTATACTAAACATTCTGAAATTATTTCTCCCCAATAATAATTGTTAATGCAGCCCTACATTTGCCAACTACAGACAAATGATACAAAAGTGAGGGGATGGGAAGGAGGAAAAGGCACATAGTTGTACATCTAGTCCTTGACTTACGACCAGAGTTAGGATCAGAATTTCCATTGCTAAGAAAAACAGTTGTTAAGTGAGTCCCACCCAATTTTACAACCTTGTTTGCCACGATACCTGAGCAAATCACTGCAGTTGTTAAATGAATAATATCGTCATTAAGCTAAACTGGCTTCCCCCAGAATAGACTTTGCCTATTGGAAGCTAGCTGGGAAGGTCGCAAATGGTGATCACATGACCCCAGGATGCTGCAACCATCATAAATATATGCCGGTTGCCAAGTGCCTGAATTTTGATCACGTGAACATGGGAGAATGCTGCAACAATTGTAATTGTGAAGACCCGCTTTAAGTGCCATTCTAACTTCAAATGGTTGCTAAATGAGTTGTTGTAAGTCAAGGGGCTGGCTTGATCCCATCCTTGCGGTTTTAATTTGTAATTGGTTTTAACTGGGTTGTTTTAAATTGATGGCCAAAATTATTTAATGTCTTTTAAACTGCTTTTAAATTTTATATGTTGTGTTTTACCGTGGCTGTTCACCGCCCTGAGTCCTGTTGGAGAAGGGCGGTATACAAATTAAATAAATAAATAATAATAAAGGACTAGCTGTAAGTAATGCCAGCAAGGAGATTGAATAGAGGCACAAAGGCCAATAAAGTCTCACTAAGGCTCCCTATGAGCCCCATCATTATCTCTAGAATTATCACTCTTGGGAGATGCCTTGAGCAAAAAAAGCCAGCGCAGTCCTAGGCTGCATTAACCGAGGTATACTATCAAGATCACTTGCAAAGTGTTAATACCGCTTTATAATGCCTTGGTAAGACCACACTTGGAATAGCGCATCCAGTTTTGGTTGCTATGTTATAAAAAAGATGTTGAAACTCTTTTTGAAAAGAGCAGTAATGTTGATTATAGGACTGGAAGGTTAAAAAGTGTGAAGAACGGTGGCAGGAACTGGGTATGCCTAGTTTAATGAAAAGAAGAACTAGGGGAGATATGATAGCAGTGTTCCAATATTTGAGGGGCTGCCACAAAGAAGAGGGGGTCAACCTATTTTCCAAAGCACCTGAAGGCAGGACAAGAAGCAAAGGATGAAAACTAATCAAGGAGAGAACCAACTTAAAACTAAGGAGAAATTTCCTGACAGTTAGAACAATTAATCAGTGGAACCTCCACTGATTACCTCCAGAAATTGTGGGTGCTCCAATACTGGAGGTTTTTAAAGAAGATATTGGACAACCATTTGTCTGAAATGGTATAGGGCAGTGATGGTGAACCTTTTTGGCACCAAATGCCAAAAAGGTCGTGCGGAAATGTCATGCGCACACTTGTCAGGGCCGCGCTCCGGAAAAGCTGAACTTCTGGGTTCTAGTGCACATGCATGCCCAACGATCAGCTGGCCAGCACACATACTCAGGCTGTTTTTTGGCACTGCCGTGCATGCGAAGGGATTGCGCTCCAAAAAAGCCGAACTTCTGGGTTCTGGCGTGCATGCGCACCTGACAATCAGCTGGCCGGTGTCCATGTGCACACCTGTTTTCGGCACTGCCACGCATGCAAAGGACAACTGACGTCACGCACACATGCATGCCAGAAACCAGGAAGACAAGCAGGCAAGGCTGCGCATGCCGGGCGACATGGCTTCGTGTGTCACTTTGGGCACGCGTGCCAAAGGGTCACCATCACTGGTATAGGGTTTCTTGTTTGAGCAGAGGATTGGACTAGAAGTCCTCCAAGGTCCTTTCCAACTCTGTTATTCTATTAAATTCAGGGTGAGACATCTTCCCCTGTCTCCTTGCATTTACCTCCATACATGAATGGCATCAAAAGGGCGGTAGGACTATTAGACTCTTATCCTGCTTCACTGAATGACCATTTCAACATCTCACAGGGTCTGAACAGAACTAAACCCTAACTTTACCTGACATGATAACAGTTTTAATCCAACTCTGGAGTAACAGGCATTGAATTTAGTGGAACTTATCATAGATAGTCTTCCACAACCCTTCTCAAGTATCCTTTACCTTGTCTCATTTCCCTCCTTGTCTCATCTTCCTCTCCTTCCTTTACATTCCCTCTACAGTAACCCTCCCTTTTCCCCCATCTCCTTCCTGTTGATTTCTAGTCCTTTTTTTCCCTGTTTCGCTGGGAAATAGGAAAAGAATATGTGTTTTGGGATGCAGTTTTTTTCCATACAGATGTGGATTAATTAAAATTATTAATTAAATTAATGTTAATTTAGCTTTTTCTTCCAACCCTGTCCTTTTTTGCATAATTCCTAGTCAGTATTTTTCTGCACCCATACATTTGTAATTTTTCTTGGCACTTTTGTTTGGCTTTTTTTTTTCCTCCTTCCTCTTCTTTCTTTTCTTTTTTAAGAATTGTCTTAAATTCTTGGGAAGGGAGGTAAGATTGTCTTAAATTTGGAGTTTTCTTCCTTTCACATAAATATGAGCATTCTAATGCGAAGCCTATTCGAAGCATTTATCTCTAGTTGGCCTAGAAAACTGGATCAGCATTAAGAAAAAAAAATCCTGTACAGTTTCTAATGACTCCAAATGCGTGCCCACACTGCAGGCTTCCAATGATGTAATGGTTTTTAAATTAAAACCCCTGAAAGTTCTGTGGGAAAGGTCGGATAAGGAATTATCAGTAACTTTCCAAGATTCCTCCTATGTATCCATGACATTCAGTGTACAATTTTTTAAAAATCCAAGTTGATAATAGGGTTGAACTAAAACTTTGAAAAACTGCTAAATTCCTCCAGACTAGAATTCATTATTCCCACTTTGAATTAGGAATAGAATATAGAATAACAGAGTTGGAAGGGACCTTGGAAGACTTCTAGCCTAATTCTAATTCTAATTTAATTTTAAAATAGTACAGGGTGACGGATACTTAACTATGGCTTTCTTGAAATTTGTTTTCCTTTAAAAAAAAGTTTATAAAATACCAGACAAAAGAATAAAACTATGTGTCATCCTTCCTGTCCAAATTACTTTAGAAATGATGCATATCCATGCTAGTGTAATTCCAAAAGCTCACAGAGGAAACACACTGTGCATCAGCAACCAGAGCTGTTAAAAAAAGCATACACTTTTTTTTAAAGGGTATCTAGTCCTTGATGAAACCATGTCCACTACATTAAGCATTCCTTCCTTTCAAATATTCTGGTGATTACAATCACAATTTATCTTCAGTTAATGCAGTGTCAAGTTGGGAGGGCTATTTCCGATTGGGTCAAACTACTAAATTATTTCAAGATTTGGTAATCTTATTAAGGTAAAGGTAAAGGTTCCCCTCGCACATACGTGCTAGTCGTTACTGACTCTAGGGGGTGGTGCTCATCTCCGTTTCAAAGCTGAAGAGCCGGCGCTGTCTGAAGATGTCTCTGTGGTCATGTGGCCAGCATGACTAAATGCCAAAGGCGCACGGAACACTGTTACCTTCCCATCAAAGGTGATCCCTATTTTTCTACTTGCATTTTTTACATACTTTTGAACTGTACAGTGGCAGAAGTGGGACAAGTAACAAGAGCTCATCCCATTACGCGGCACTAGGGATTCGAATCGCTGAACTGCCAACCTTTTGATTGACAAGCTCAGCGTCTTAGCCATTGAGCTACTGTGTACCTTCGGTAATCTTTTTATTTCCACCTAAATGGATGTAACACCACCTTTAATTTCTCTGTGACTATACATCTTTATAAACGTTTCTCCGTGTGAAGAAAACAAACTACAATCATGGGGATTGCAAAGACAATTTTGAACAAGTGCTAATCCATTATAATCAAGATGAATTTCCCATGTTAAAAAACTATGTATCTACTAATCAGTCATCAGTTGCATCAATAAAGAGAGTAATCATTCTGCAGTAATTGTAATATACATAAACACAGTCATATAAAGTAAGGAATGTCTTGTAAATACCTTTCCAAAATCACGAACATCAAACAAGTCAAATGCTTCAAAGAGTTCGCTCTTCTTCATACCAAATATTTCACAGCAGGCAGAAAGGAATGTTCTTATATTCTTCAAGCACAAAAACTAAAGAGGAAAAAAGATAATACTTTTAGTAAATTATCTAATTATCAGCAAGGATATTCAATTTCATTCAAAGGTGTGTGCCTCTCGGGGACTTTCCCCAATTATTATAATTTCCTAGAACCTTTATAAAAGCTATACCATGAAACCTTTGCACAGGATGTCAGAGAAGATAACCAAATGCTTGATGTTTTCTTTGACTAATTGGTCCTCCAATGTGTGAAAAAACTGCTTTTGCTTTTCCATTTCAAACAGAACTCATTCGTTGGAAGTCTATTGCTCAAGAAAAAAGAAATGCCAATTTCTCTGGGTTTATGCTACTGGTTTCATGATTCTTTAAATGCTCACTTTGATGGTGAGGACATAGTAAAACTACTTTTTCTGACTTTGAAAGTTGCCATTAAACGCAAGTACCCAACTCCCAAGCAATACAAAAGCACAGTAATTAGTTAATTGCCTAAATTCTAATTGTAGTTATAGTTGTGTTTTTAAATTACCCTAAATGTTAACTCGGTAAATGCAGTACGCAAGTTGTTAATTGTATAACTAGTTAACATTAGGGAGCAAATGTAACCAAAATGCTTTATTGGAAGAAAACCAGATTCTGCAGTAAATACAGTATATTTTACAATACTTAAAATTTTAAAAGCCACAAATGCTTATGGCAAGAGCAGAATGAAAAGTAACCACACTACCACAACGTAATGCAAATACTGGTAGAAATGAAAACTAGTAAACAACATAGAATGAAAATACCGGTAACTAGCATTTTAAAAATATTTCCTGCTCTTACAACAATGAAATGTAAGACAACTGATTTGATTTGAGAAAATCTGCTGATCCTAATATTTCCATTTCAACTGCTAAAAAGCAACTTAAATGTAAGCTGTTTTTTAGACTCTAATAGCACAATTGAGTCATCTTTTTCAGTTTCCTCCTCCTCCTTCCTTTTTTTGCCCTTGCCTTGAACTAGAATGGAGTGTAAGCCATATGCCTTCAAGACTAAAGAAGATATTGCTTCTGCAGAAGAATCTACTTCTACATCTCCCCTCACATATATGCAAGTTAGGGCAATAATTACCAACGTAAGGCAAAGGCAGAAACAGTATTGTTTTTTTTTTCTACCTAACACATCAGAAGTGCCACTGGCTTAATCTAAAGGCCAAACTCTCTAGAATGGTGCTGCTTTGGCCTGTTTTCAAAATAGTTGCTTTTGAAATACTCTCTGGATGGAGAGTATTCTCTAAAATAGGGGGCCACCAGGAAGAATGCCTGTCACTTGCCCTGCAACCCATGAACATCTCAAGAAGGATGTCTGCAGAAGGCCCCTCTTTATGGGCAAGCAGGTCAAAGGAGGGTGGTTCAGTTATAGCAAGGCATTGACTGATCTATGTATTTGAAATTGTAAACTGCCCAGAGTTCATTGATTGAAATGTATCGGCATAGAAAATGAATGGATGAATGGATGGATGAATGAATGAATTGAAATGAAATGAAATGAAATGAAATGAAATGAAATGAAATGAAATGAAATGTCCAATGCTGAACTGTAAATGGCTTTAAATGTGATAACCATGAGTTTGAATTGGGCCCAGAAGTCTACCAGCAATCAATTCAGTAATTTCAGAATAGGTGTTATTCCAGGGGTGAAATCTAATTTTTTTTTGCCACCGGTTCTGTGGGTGTGGCTTGATGGGCATGGCTTGGTAGTGGTCATGTGACTGAGTGGGCATGGCCATTTTAAAAACTTTTTAAAGCATTTTTAACTAGTAAAAAATGGTTTAAAAAGTAAAAAAAAAGTTTCCGATGATCAGCACCTGACCAGCCTGGGCCCCTCGCCAAGCCAGATCCAGCGCCTCCTAGCCCCAAAGATTGCAAGCCTTTCTACCTCGGCCACCCAGTCTGGGAGATGACCGAGGGGGGGAGAGAGAAACAAAGTGCTCGGCTGCTCCCCCTTTTCACTCACCCGGAGCTTCCTGTTGCGGATTTTCACGCTTTGCTTCATGCGCCTGGGATTGTCACCCTCATCTTCTTCCTCCTCCTCCTCTCCAAGTGGAAAAATGCCAGGAGCAAGTGCAAAAAGAAGCGCTTGCTTGCTCCTGGCCTTTTTCCATTTGTAAGGAAGCTTTCGTACCTGTGAAGGCAAGTCTGGCTTCCTGAGCTAAAAATCTCACCAGTACCGCTGTGCACATAGCTTGTGTGCGTGTGTGTGGATGTCGGGCATGGGCTGCTGCGAAGACCAGGAGCAAAGACACACACACACACACACAGGCTTTAAAAGACCTTTGAATGACTTGAGGCTCCTTCAGGTTGGCCTCCAAAGAAAAGAGGAATGAAGGCGGGGGTGGATTGAAGGGGTGAATTCCCCGGCTGGTTCAGCCGGCCGGGGATTGGATGGCAGGCACAGGCTTCTGCGAAAGATCAGGAGCATAAAGACACACACACATACACAAGCTGCGTGCACAGCAGTACTGGTGAGGTTTTTAGCGAGCAGCACAGGAAGCCAGACTTGCCTTCACAGGTACCAAAGCTTCCTTACAAATGGAAAAACATCAGGAGCAAGCAAGCGCTTCTTTTTGCACTTGCTCCTGGCGTTTTTCCACTTGGAGAGGAGGAGGAGGAAGAAGACGACGAGGGCAACAATCCCGGGCATGTGAAGCAAGGCATGAAAATCCACAGCAGGAAGCTCGGGGTGAGTGAAAAGGGGGAGCAGCTGAGCGCTTTGTTTCTCCGGAACCGGTAGAAAAAAATGCTTAAAAAGTAAAAAAAAAAAAAAAAAAAAAGTTCTGATGATCGGCCATTGCTCAGCTGATCGTCGGAACTTTTTAAAAAACTTTTAAAGCATTTTTTTACTACCGGTTCTCTGGAAATAAAAGCAGGAAGTAACGACGACTGGGCAGGTGGGCGGAGCCTTGCGCCGCCATCATTACCGATTCTCCGAACCATCAGCCATCATCGCTACTGGATTGGCCGATCCGGTCCGAACCGGGAGCATTTCACCCCTGTGTTATTCCCATCAGGAATCCAGTTGTCCTATTTTGTATCAACTGAGTTTTGGATTGTCTTCAAAGGCAACTTGATGTAAAGAGCATTATAACAGTTTATCTGGATGGGTAGGCATGGGTCGAGCTTGGTCCAAATAAAATCACATCAGAACTCGGTCAAGACTTCCCCGGCCACATCCTCCTGTTATATAAGCAGCAGCAGCAAGTTGAGAAGTACCTCCAAATCATGAATTTTGTGGAGAGATATCCTCACCCATTCTAGAAGCCAATCTTTTTTTGGAAGAAAGCAATGGTTCCCATCTGCTTCTTGTTCTGATAACAGATGGACTGATTTGGTATCAAGCTGTTTCCTTGTCACCTTGTGAGAGAACCTGTTCTCACACAATTTTGTTCTAAAACTTGCACATTTTGTGCTGAGGTACATGTTTTCAAACAGTCTATCTTAAAGGGAATCTCTTCCGCATCAGTATCTGCATGATGTACTATGAATACACCTCAGTGAATTCCATAACATAGTCCAAGAAATGCATTCACTTTACAAGACTCTCACAGGCCCTGAATAAAATATTCAAAGTATTATGTATTGCAGGAGAAAATTTAGAGAAACAGGGTACTTTTCTAGGGGGGAAAGGAAGTGTATTTATACTGAATTTCTATCTCAGATCTCACATAGTGTTTTTAAAAATCAAGTTATTGAGGTTTTTTTTCTTTTTTAAAAAATAAAAGATGTATCCTATGTACCTAAAAAACAAAATGATTCTATTGTAAAAAGGACCAATATCCCCTGGGAGGATGAAAACTAGAGGCAGAGGATTTCCTCATCAGTACCCTTATTTATTTATTTTATTTATTTATCGGATTTATATGCCGCCTTTTCTCCACAAGGACTCAGGGCGGCTCACAGCAATAAGCAACAAGAAGTCCAAATTAAAATTCAAACAATAAAAGAATCTAAAATTCCCATTAAAACCCCTTCAGTCCAGGCCAGCCTGGAGAAACAACCATGTTTTAAGGTCACAGCGGAAACAGCGAAGGTCAGGGGCCACCCCTTGAGTGAGAAAGTTGTAAATTTATGTTTACAAATCAGTTACTCCCTTATGATGAGTAAGTGATGTTTCAGATAATCAGGATTGGAAAGTTTTATAAACTGAGAAACAGTTTTGTTTGTTTCTTTTCTATTTCACTTTTCCATCCTTTCAGGCTGTTTACAGGGGAGAAATTACTATTTTTCAACAGCATAAAAATATCCACAAAGTTAATATACGTATGCTTTGGGTGATGTTACGCAAATTAGTAATCTATGTATACTCTATGTTTTATAGTAGATAATAAATCAATGTGTAATATGATGCATCAATGGTGAAATGGGGCTATGACATTGACTGAAGTTAGTCAGTGTATTTAAGAGCATTAAAACAACTATTTATCAGCATTTGCCAATCCTGTCTCCAAAGGAAAACGAGACACATCTTTGGTTACAACACTCAAAAGTAATTCCTTTAAGTAACAAGGCCCTTGACAATAGGATGAAATCACTCCTATTGCTTGAAAGTGCACTTTGAGTGTTTGGTTTCAGATTTAATGACCCCCATAGCCAACTCCTTTGTTTTTCAAACAGATTAAAAGATTATTTCTTAACCGTTAACTTAATCCAATTAATTGTCCAAATGTGGTATTAATGCTTCTATAGGAAAACAGACTTTATAAGTTTCTATTTTTTTTCATCATTTGTAGGGGGTCATAAAAACAATTTTACAGCACAGAACCATATAATGCTAAACATTTTTGAACTAATTACTTTTTACAAAAGGGAAACATTGATAGAATGAGTAAACTTGACTATCTTGACTATGTTGCTTTTCAAATAAATAAATCTGTATGTTTAAAGAAGAAGAAGAAGAATAGGCTGTATTGTTTCAAAGGGCATGAAAACTTGGCTGAAGCAGATTTTGTAAAAATGTCAACGCACATCTTAAAATGTGTGTTACTTTATTATAA